ATAACTATACAGTTTTTTCCCCTTTTTTGGTTTGTCGTTGTCCTCAGTTGTCAGTTGATGTCTCTGGTTCCCTGTTTCCACTCTTGTAGGCTTATTTACTTTGGATACTTCCACAGCCAGGGTGGTTTCTAGGTTATGTCATCATGTGTGTTAACAGTCAGTTGTTGTTGGCTGTTGTTGCTTCTCTGTCCAAAGGACTCCCTTTAGCATCTCTTGTCAGGTTGGTCTCATTTGAGCAAATTCCCTTAATTTCTGCTTATCTGGAAATGTCCTAATTTCACCATCATATTTGAGGGACAGTTTTACCAGGTATATAATTCTTGGTTGGAAAATTTTTCTTTCAGGTTTTTATATACACTTCCCGTTGTCTTCTTGCCTTGCATGGTTTATCCCGAGAACCGAGCTTAGCCATGTTGGTGGCCCCTCGTAGGTGACTTCCTTTTTCTCGTGCTGCTCTCAGGATTCTTTGTCTTTGTTTTTGGTGAGTTTGATGATGAGATGTCTGGGTGAGTTTCTTTTGGGGTCTGTCCTGTTTGGGGTTCGTTGGACTTCCTGAATGGATATGTTCTTATCTTTCATCATACCAGGAGAATTCTCTTCCAAAAAATCTTAAACAATTTTCCCTGTGGTTTTGTCTCTCTTCCTGTTCTGGAATTCCGATTACATGTAGATTATTCCTTTTGATGGTATCCCATGTGAACCTTAGGCCTTTTTCATTTTGTTTTGCTCTTCTTTCTGATTTATTCCTTTCCAAATAATTGTTTAGGTATTTTGCTTTCAATCTCACCAATTCTGTCTTCCATTGATTTAGTTCTGCTCCTTTGCCCATCCAATGTCTTATCTATTTCTGAAAATTTAGTATTAATCTTCTGCATTTTTATGTGTGTTGATTTTGTATCATTTCTAAGTTTTCATTTATTTTGTCAGTTTGTTCTTGTATCGTTTTTTGAAATTGTTGTAGGGTTTTCTCTTTGTTTTCCTTGATCGGTCTCTCAATTCGGTGATGAAACTTAAATATAATTCCTTTGAATTCCTTCTCAGGGAGTTCCAATGCTGCATGTTCCTCAGGGATGTCTTTTGGGTCTGTGTCTTGGTCCCTTGTTTCTCCTGCTTTATCTTGCTTCTTTGTGTGGACTGTGATGCTCTGTTGTCTCCGAGGCATTGTGACGTTTTTGTGTTTATATCTAATTGGTGATAGTATGTTGAAGTGACTTGCCCACGATTTCGTTTTCTTTGTATGTTGTCTACTCAAGCAGGGTACTGTGCTGTGCTCCTCTGTGTCCTAGTTAGTAGCACGTATACACTCACCACCTGTCTCCTTTCCTGGTGTCAGCCTCACATATGTCCTTGCCGCCCTTCGCAGACGGAGCTTATTCTTAGGTCCCTGGAATCCGAATGTTTTGTGACAAGATTTTACCCGAGTTTTCTGTGCTTGCCCTCTGACCTGAAGATCAGTGGTTCCGACCCACCCAGCAGGTCTCTGGGAGGAAAGCCTGTGAGCTCCTTCCATAGAGACTGCAGCCAAGAAAACCATCGGTGCAGTTCTTCTCTGCCAGGCACAGGGCGGTGTGACTCAGCGGGGACTCAGCAGCCACTTGACAGAGAGAAACGGGCAGGGCTCTGCGGACAGTCGGTCTCTGCTGGAGTGAGCCTCGATGGCTTGCCCTTCGGGTACTCTGTTCATCCCAGTTGTGGGGTTTGTGATTGTTCATAACATCCCCTGGTGATGCTTTCAATGCCTGTGGGATCTGCGGTGAGCTCCCCCCTCCAGCTCCCAGTACTGTCTCCTCCCCTCTGGTTCTCGATCGGTGTGGGCACCCGTGTGTTGTGACTGATCTCCTCAGAGAACCAAAGGGTCCCTGATACCTCTGTCCTGTTGATCTTTCTGTCTCGCTGATTCCGCCGTCATTTTGTCTGTCTCTCTTTACTCTGGAGTCGGGGCTGTGTTTCTGGTTTCTTGCGGTAGACTCTCTGGTCTCAGCCCGGAGACCTTGCCTCGGCCCTAAAGCGGCGTTCAGCATGTCCCCCATATGCACAGCACCACCGTATTGTGGGTTCCTTTTGTTTTGTTGTAAAGAATTGCCAGTTTCCTCTTGGTCCCTTTGACCTACTGTTTACATAGGGGTTTATTTTACTCTCCCCTCAAACACACACACACATACATCACACGCATGGTGACCCGAGCTCAGCGTGACCCACACGGCGCAGGCTCAGCGTGACACCCAGGCTCAAGATCCCTCCAGCCCTGGGTTTTCATTCTGTGTAAGGCCAGTTGCCATGGAGGCCACCATGACTCACGGCAACCCCACGTTGTTGGAGTTGAACTTCCATCCACAGCGTTTCCAGAGCCTGATGTTTCAGCAAGAGATTGCCAGGCCTTACTTCCAAGGCACCTCTGGGTGCCCTGGACCCAGCCTTTCTGTGAGCAGCCACTCGGCGGAACCTCCGGGACGCCTCCAACTAATGTGGCTGTTGTTTGGTGCCTCTCAGTCGGCTCTGACTGATGGCGACCCCGTGCACAGCAGAACAGAACCCTGCCCGGTCCTGCCGCAGCCTCACAGTCCTTGCCACACCTGAGCCCATCACTGCAGCCGCCGTGTCCGTCCGTCTCGTTGAGGGCCTTCGCCTTTTCACTGACCCTCCACTTTCCCAAGCATGACATCCTTCTCCAGGGGATGGTCCCTCCTGACAACATGACCAAAGTGGGTGAGGCCAAGTCTGGCCGTTCTCGCCTCCAAGGAGCGTTCCGGCGGCACTTCCTCCGGGACAGATGGGTTTGCTCTCTGGCGGCCCGTGGGACCTTCAGTGTTCTTCATCAGCTCCACAGTGTAAATGCGTCACTTCTTCTGCGGTCTTCCTCATTCACCGTCGAGCTTTCACGCGCATAGGAGGCTGTTGGAAAGACAGTGGCTTGGTTCCAGCGCACCCTAGTCTTCAGAGTGACCTCTTTGCTGACCACTTTACAGAGGCCTTTGGCAGCACATTTGCCCAGTGCAGTGCAACATCTGATTCTTGACTGCTGCTTCCATGGATGTTGGCTGTAAAATGAAATCCCTGGCAACTTCAGTCTTTCTACGTTTATCATGATGCTGCTGATAGGTCCCATTGTGAGGATTTCTGTTTTCTTTATATTGAGGTGTAATCCGTACTGAAGACTGTCTCCTTAGACCTTCATCAGTAAGTGCTTCAAGTCATCCTCACTTTCCGCAAGCAGAGTTTAGTCTGTGTATCGCAGGTTGTTAATGAGTCCTCCTCCAAATCTGATGCCACGTTCTTCTTCATATAGTCCAGCTTCTCGGATTATTTGCTCAGCATACAGATTGAATAAGTATGGGGAAAGGATACAACCCCGACACATTCCCTTCCTGATCTTAAACCACGCAGTGTCCCCTTGTTCTGTTCAAACAACAGCCCTCCTGGTCTGTGTATAGGTTCCTCATGAGCACAAGTAAGTGTTCTGGAATCCCCATTCTTCTAAATGTCACCCATAATTTGTTATAATCCACACAGTCAAATGCCTTTGCGTAGTCAACAAAACACAAGCAAACATCTTTCTGGTATTCTTTGCTTTGAACCAAGATCCATCTGACATCAGCAATGATATCCCCCATTCCATGTCCTCTTGTGAATCCAGTTTGCATTTCTGATGTTCCCTGTCACTACACTGCTGCAACTACGTTTGAATTATCTTCAGCAAGATTTTACTTACGTATGATAATAATGATACTGTTATTTCTGCATTCTGTTGGATCACCTTTCTTTGGAATGGGCACAAATAGGGATGTCTTCCAGTTGGTCGTCCAGGGGGCTGTCTTCCCAATTCCTCAGCATAAATACATGAGCACCTTTCGGCGCTGCATTGGTTTGCTGAAATATCTTAATAGTTATTCTGTCAGTTCCTGGAGGCTTGTTTCCCTGGCTCCTTCAGCGCACCATTGACTTCCTCCGTCAGCACCCCCTGTTCTTGCTCCTATGCTGCCTCCTGAAAGGGTTAAACGCCGGCAGGGTGACTCTCTGTTCTTCCCTTCTTTGGGCCCCTCCTCTGTCATTCAGTGTCTTGGCCATGGAACCTTTCTGTATCGCAGCTGAAGGCTTGAACTTGAAAAGTGCTGAGCGTGTTCTTGCTAATCATAGCTCGTATTGATGCCGTTTGCCATCCAGTCAGTTCTGACTCACGGTGTCTTCATGTGAGTGTTGGAGTACAGCTGTGCCCCACAGGGTTTGCAAAGAATTGGACGAGGGAGACCCTCCGTGGGGTGGACAGACAGAGGCCTCAACCGTGGACTCTAACAAGGGAGAACCTCGATGTTTTGGAAATAGGGGCCTTCAAAGTTCTTGAGATTGGTGGTCACATGGAGAGGGCTGCCACACCTTGGTTTCCTGCCTCGGTGGTGCTGGGGCTGGTTTGAGAGAGAGCTGCCGTCGGAGAGGTGGTGTCAGACTCGGGACAGGACCCAGCCTGGGTCTGCGGGGCGCACGCATGGTTCCAGCTCTGGGTCTCGGGCCTCACGTGCGGTCACTCCTTGAGCTTTGCTTGGAAGTCGACCTTCCAGAAGCAGACTCTGGCACTTCCTGATCTACGCGAGTTGTCGCTGACGAGCGCGCTCAGACTCACAGGGACCCCGTGTGCAACAGGACAGAACGCTGCCCCGCCCTCCACCACTCTAACGATCACTGGTGCGCTCAAGGCCATGGTTGAGGCCTCTGTCCGTCCATCTCATGGGGGTCTCGCTCTGAGCCCATGGTGCGGGCCCCGTATCACCTCGTCTCCTGGGGGTCCGTCCATCTCATGGGGGTCTCGCTTCTGAGCCCGTGGTTGAGGTCTCTGTGTCCGTCCATCTCATGGGCATCCCCCTTGTTCTCACTGAGCCTCCCCTTTACCAACCCTGATGGCCTTTTCCAGTGATGGGTCACTCTGGGTGATAGGGTTGCAGACCTGGCTGTGCTCACACAGGCCCCCAGCCGCACATCCGTCTGCTTCCTCGCGGCCTGTCTTGCAGGTACGAGCCTGAGCTCAGCCCCGTGGACCCCAAGCTGCGGGTGCAGCTGGATGCGAGGCCCTTCCTGGAGGCACCGTCTGCACTGGGCACCGTGGACCTGTATGACTGTGAGGACGATGACAGCCCGCAGCTGCTGTGACCGCGGGGACGGGAGGGCACGACCAACAGCCGGTCCGCTCAGCAGTGCCCTGGCCTCTGCCCCCGGATACGGTGCCAGCCGGTGCAGGACAGACAGACTGTGTGGCTGTGGCACCGTCTTTATGGACATGAGAAGCGTTTGTGTGGATGTTAAACTTTTATTTGTCCGGCACTGAGCTGTCAGGGTGGTTTTTGGTGGTGTGGTCCGTCTGCTGGGACGCAGCCCCCAGCGTCCGTGGGCCTTGGAGCCTCAGCCCATCTTATACACAGACGGACCCTCCTCGGCTGAGCACCGGGACCCACACCCCTTGCTCATGTCTGCACGGTGCCCCAGCGTCCGGGATGCAGGAGGAACTGTGGTCATCGGGGAGTGCTGTGCGCTGGAGAGGGGCCCCAGGCCACTGCCCAGACCACCCCCAGACTGCTGGGGGCCAGGGACCAGCAAGAAGGGGCTGCCGGGACAGTTATCCACGTAGACATGGGGACACCCCCTACCCTGGGGACACCTGCTGTCCTGGGCACTGTTGTCCATCAGGTCGGGGGCATCCCTCAGGCCACTGGGCCATGGTGTCAGCCTCAAGTGCCTGGACCAGGGACTTGCCAAAGATGTGGAGGGGGTTCATCTCCCCTCCTGGACCGTGGGGACACGGATGGGCCACGGCCTTGACATGGGCGAGCCTGGAGGGGGGATGGGGAGGTGGCCGTGGGCAAGGTGACCAAGGGGTGCTCAGCTTCCCGCAGCCCCAGGAGCCCCTCGGATTATCTCCGCCGTGCCCAGCCCCCTGCCTCAGGGACAAGGACCACCAGCCCCAGGGCCCTGAGCCCCCGAGCCGTCCCCTTAGGGCCTCTGCCGCGGTCCGCTGCCCCTCCCCCAACGGGAAACATTCGCACACCACCCAGCATCCCTCTGTCGCAAGCACAGCAAGATGGGGACCTCCACCTCCGTCCCCCTCCACTCACCCCACAGACACTCTCAGACCCCACCCCCACGGATGGCACAGGCCCTGCCCTCCACCCCCAAAGATACAGGCCCCACCTCACAGACATTCAGGCTCTGGCCCCCACCCCACGGACCCTGACAGGCCTGCTCCACCACAAAGACGGGCTTGGCTTTAGCGATGCCCTTAGGTGCTGCCCCTGGGGACACTCAGGCCCCGCCCCTGTGGGCCCTCTCGGGCCCCGCCCCTGTGGGCCCTTTCGGGCCCCGCCCCGTGGACCCTCCCAGGCCACGCCCTGCGGACCCTCTCAGGCCACGCCCCTGTGGGCCCTCTCGGGCCCCGCCCCATGGACCCTCCCAGGCCACGCCCTGCGGACCCTCTCAGGCCACGCCCCGTGGACCCTCTCAGGCCACGCCCCTACCCCACCAATGCCCAAAGACCACGATGCTCAGATCGGAGAACTAGGGCAGCAGCAGCAGGAACCCAAGGTTGAGGGGGTGCTGGCCCCCCAGCTCACACACCGGCACCTCGGCAAAGGTGAAAGGCCACACGTGTGGGCGAGCCAGCATGGGGACGGCACTGACAATGGCCCATGTGGCCTGCGGGTCTGTCCACCAGTGGGTCAGGTGCATGGCGTCCCGGGCGCAGGATTGAAACCAAGTACCAGACGCTGTGGAAAGGACGGCAGGCGAACTGGGTGAGGTTGTAGGGGCCGCCATAGGGTCCACGTGCTTCCGGTGCAGCTGTGGACGGGCGGAGGTCAGACATGTGCCTATCCTCGCCGTCACAGGGAAGACCCGTGCTGGGGGGCCTGGAGCCAGGGGTGCACACCTGCTGGGGGGCTGCAGGCCCTCCTGGCGTGAGCTGCCCTGTCCACTGAACACAGACACCAGCGTGCCGCGAGGTGCCCCTTCAGCAGGACGGCAGGGCCCTGTTACCGTGCAGAAGTCAGTTCAGAACCTTTCCCAGCAGGAGCCCAGGCCAACAACTGGATAGAAGTCGTTACCGTGGGTTTGCAGAAAACCAAAAGATGGGGCAGGAAGGCGTTTACATTGAGAGAGACACCACCCCACAAGCAGATGAAGGTTAGAAACCGTTCAGACTCAGAACAGTGTTCACCGCAGCACCTTCCACCAAGGACGGACACAACCAAGTCCGTCAGCAGATGATGGGAACCGTGCACACAGCGGAGTATTAGTCGCAGAAAAGAAAGAACCCAAGTGTCCTTCAGCAGATGATGGATCAGCACAGTGGGTCTGGCCACACAGTGGAGTATTCCTCAGACACAAAGAGAAATGAAGTTCTGATCGATGCAATGAGGGGAATGAGTCTTGAAAACGTTGTTAGCTGTTGCGTCGGCTCCCACTCAAAGTGACCCTGTGCACCACAGAGCAGAGCACGGCCTGCTCCTGGGTCCGGCCCACAGCCCTCGCCGTGCTCGAGCCCATCACGGCATCCGCTGTCCCGGGCCGTCTCGTTGAGGGCCTTCCTCTTCCTCGCTGACTCCAGCATGCAGTCCTTCAGGGACTGGCATGGCACCTGTCCGTGGGGCCCCGGGTCCTCGTGCTGGGAACCTCTTCAGCCCGGGGGAGACTGGTGACAAGGCCCTGCCCCTTGAGCAGACAGAGAAAGCCCTGCCTAGAGCTGGTCCCCTGACTTCTAGTCTCCTAACGGTTTGTTGAAGCCACCCTCTGGTGTTTCTGTGACGGCAGCAGTAGATCACTTGGGAGGGCGCTCTGGCGGCGTGGTGGATAAGGCATTTGGCTGCTCACCAAAAGCTCAGCGGTTCAAACCCCACCAGCTTCTCCATGGGAAGAAGACGGGACAATCTACATCCGTAAAGATTTACAGCCTCGGAAGCCCTGTGGGGGTCCTCTGAGTTGGAATTGCCTAGATGACAGGGAGTTTGGTTTGGGTTTTTTTTGTTTTTTTTTTTTCCAGATAACTCAGTCGGCTCGTGTTGGAATCGACTCAGTGACAGTGGGTTAGATAACTGAGACGCACGTACCCCTGACACATTCAAACACGTGTGCGTATGTGAATGACCATATATGGCGTGCGGACCCGCAGCTTCAGGAGGGTCAATTTATGGCTGATCATTGCCCTTCTGGGCCCTGTTCTGTGGCGTCCTCATTGCTGACATTAAATGTCACTTTTGTTCCTCAGAGGGAAAGCACCTTCTAGAAGCTCCGTTACAAGCTTAAGTTCATATGGCCAGATTCTTAACGTCACTGTTAATGCCCAGAACCTACTGACAAGCCGTCTGCTTCTGGGACGGACCTTCCGCTGTGGCCCGAGAGGAGCAGCAAGTTTGCTGGAGACCCTTGGAGCTGTAAGCCACCTGATGACGCGGCCACCCCAACTCCCTGCTTACACCTCTGCCTGGGGTCAGGGCCTTTCCCGACCCGGGGGATTGTCAGCAAATTCTGTGACACCTTTTGTTCTTACTGCTGCTGCTCCCCGAGTCAGGGCAGCCCCGCGCCCAACAGAACCAACACGGCGTGGTCCTGCACAAGCCCCTTGGTCGGTTGTGCGATGGACTGTTGGGATCCACAGGGCTCCCAAGGGCACAATTTCAGACGTCAGTCACCAGGCCTCTTCCTAGTCTCATAGTCGGAGCTCCACGGAAACCCGTTCAGTGTCCCGGTGACACAGGAGCCCGTGCTGGCGGACGGGTGGTGACCGCGTGGGAGGCACACTGGCTCGGAGTCCAACCCGATCTCCTGCACGACCATCCAGCCACCAGCTCCGCCCCAGTGTGACGTTTAAACGTTTACACTGTGTCAGGAGAGCAAAGGGACTTAGAGGAGGCAGACAATGAAAGGCAAGCAAAGTGACTAAGATGATTATAAGTAAACTATGAAAGCACTGGATGATTTTAATGCAGGTGGAGGTCCCGGTGCTGGCGATTTCATCGACTCCAGGATCAGGATGTAGCCCCCAACCCATGTGAGTATTTCAATTATTATTATTATTATTATTTTAAAAAACAACAACTCACCATCAAATCAATTCTCACTCCTAGCGACCCCTCCTTGGGCTGCGGAGGCGCTAGCTATCTCTATGGAAGTAGATGGCCCAGTCTTCCTTCTGAGGAGTGGCTGGTGGGTTTGAACCACCAGCCTTCTGGTTAGCAGTCAAGTATGTTAGGCGCTGCGCCACCAGAGCTCCCATTATTATTATTGCAAAAAAGATACTAAATCAAGCCCAGGTGTACCTCAGACACTCAGTGGGCTCGGTGCCAGACTACGGCAGTGAGGCAGACAATGAATGAAAGCAAGTCCCACGAGGTTTCTGGTTTCCCATGGCAAATGAAAGTCGTGTTGACCCTACCTCGTGGTCTACTAAGTGTGCAGCAGCATGAGGAACAAGGTTGAAATATGCTGTGAATGACCAAGTTGGACACCCAAGAAGTGAGCACGCTACAGTACAAACGGCCCATAGCCTTGCTGAACACAGGGTGCTGTAAACCTTCCATTTACACAGAAACGCAGTATCCACACAGTGCAGGAAAGCAAAGGCAGTAAAAGGAGGTCGGCCTGTGTCCTTTCAAAGCAACAGCATTTGAGAATCCCGGAAAGAAAGTACTGCAAAACCCAGCATGCAATGGAGACGTGGAGGCTGCAGGCTCTGACCTCCAACTTCACGGGAGGGCGGCAGAACCAGCATGAGCAGCCCCAGGCTGAAGCCTGTGAGGCCAGACGTGCCTCCACCCTCCGGCCTTTCACCAGCTCCGACACCCGCCATCCCTCCCACGGCACTCACCACTGCTCTGCTGGCTTCGATCACTGCAGTGGCCACACAGCCCTCAGACACTCCTCGTGACGTTGGGGTTTCTCAGCGGAACTAACAGGTGCAGTTCAGGTCCAGGACGCACTCAGGATACAGTTCTTCCACCAGCACGGTCTCCCCTCTGTGTGCCCTCAGACACGCCTCTCTGGCCCTTGGCTCTCGGCCTGGCCTCCGCCTCTGTGGCCAGGGAAGCCTGCCCCTCTCTCATTCCTCTTGGTTCCACCGCCGCCATCCCTCCACCAGGGTGACCCTCAGCCAAGGAGGTCCAGCTCAGGGGCCTCTGGCCACGGACACACTCCGCTCCACCTCTTCTCTCCTGATGGCAGTGAGGTCCTCTCTCTGCCTCTGTTGTTGTTGTTGTTATTTTCCGTCGAGTCGGCCCTGACTCATAGCAACCCCTCCTTGGGTTTCCGAGGCAGTATCACTACGGAAGTAGATTGCCCAACCTTCCGAGGAGTGGCTGGTGGGTTTGAACTGCCAACCTCCTGGTTAGCAGTCAAGTGCCTTAGGCACTATGCTACCAGAGCTCCTTCTCTAGGAGGGCTCATTTGAAGCCTGGCAGAGTGACAGAACTAACCAATCCCAACATCAGAGTTCTGCACACCTTATTGGCATGGTCCCACCCAGTAATCCAGTGAGAGTCACAAAGACTAGGCTAGAAAAGCCATACCAGGTCATTCACTGCACAGCATGGCTTCACGTACCACCATAGTGTGTTTCTCTGAACTAGGCTGCGGTTCCCTTTTGTTCTAGCAAACTGAGGCCACGTTGTAATTACTTGTCTTCATCTCTTTTGTCCAGTTGTCCTGTGACTCTCACTGATCTCTAGCAAGTAGTGATACTGTTTCTAATAAATGGCAGATATGTGATGAATAGTTGCTGAATAAAGGTCTGCGAAGATGCATGGATTTTCATTTGGGTTTTAGGATCTGAACTTCGGAGGAAACCATCTAGTCTAACAGCACCATGTGACAGATTATCGGTAAGAGAACAGTAAACCAAAGGTTCTATAGAAGAATCCTGATCAAAAGGGGGAAGATGCTGAACAGAATTTCAGATGCTTATGGAATTCAGACTTTCTGGAACCATAGAGGCTGGCTGAACCTCTGTAACTGCCGCCTGTGATAATCTTTAAACAAAAGTGTCCCCTGGAGTCTTCTTAAAACAAAACAACCTTTTAGTTTACCTGGGAATGAATGTGTGGTCTTTGAAGATCTGTCTGTATGGGGTCAAATTGATAACAGCATCTGGAAGGGTTAAGTAGGAGGGATAGAGGATGGTGAGTTACGTCATGGTGGAGGAACTCCGAAAAGAAGGGTAGGGATGGCTGCACCAACAATGTCACTGAATTTTACGTGTAGAAAATGTTGGCTGGATGTTATGGTCTGCAGACTCAACATTTTTTAAAAAATACAGCAATTACAAAAAGATCTCATTCACGAAATTGCTTATCCTTACTGCCCCCCACTCAAAAACGCGGGTTAGGCAGGCTCCAGCCGCCAGCGTCTGTGATGCAGCCAGGACAGGCGCCTAACGGGGTCCACAGAGCTAGTAATTCACAGAAACAAAGGCCGAGGGGCCCGCCCAGCGTGGAGCCCAGCAGGCGGTGGCTAGTGTCCATCCACCCCCAGGGAAGGCTGAGCCAGTGAGGAGCCCGCCTTGCAGTGCCGGGCTCTCGCCAGCAGGTGGCAGCACAGACCGCGGGCTGGTCTGCCGGGACTCAGCCGGCCCCATTCCCAGCCGGCTCCGGGCGCCCCTTTGTGGGGCCCAGCAGAGCTGTGGTCCCCAGGTTTTCAGTGGCTGACTTTTCACAGGTCGATCTTTCTTCTGAGGCGCCTGTGTGGATCTCAGCCTCCAACCTCCAGGTTAACCGTTCGCACAACCCACAAACACAGCAACCACCCAAATTCACGAACGTGGGCTCATTATCCTGGAGGCCGGTGTTTCTAGACACCTCATCTTACATTTTAGCTCAGTTTTGTGCGAGCAACAGGGAAAACACACGTGGGAAAGGCAACTTGCCCAGGGAAAAGCCACCACCCACTCGGGACAGGCCACCTGCCCAGGGCTGGCCTTGATTCCCGGCGCTCAGTGGTTTTCTCCAAGCCTGATGGTGTGCTGTCTGCCACATCCCAGCCTTCCGCTGCGACTACGGTGGATGCTGCCAAAAGCCCCAGTGCGCAGTCTTGAAGGTCCCTTCTAAGCTCCCAGGCCCATTCTTGAAGTGGCAGCTGTGTTCACGTCCCTGGGGGCTACACTCCCCCACGTTCCTCCTGAGCACCCTAGCCTCCAGTTTCCGAGCGAGCTGGGAGAGTCACTGTCCGGGAACAGATTTCAGCGCAGCTTCCAGACAGGTGCACTAGGAACAAAAGACAGGCCATCGCCCACAATCAGCCAGCGGGAACCCCACAGTCACAGCAGGCTGAGCTCCAACGCGTCGTGGGGATGGCTCCGCACCCTCACATTTCCTTCCAGTGCGCCTGGGGTCACCTTGAGCCCTTGACAGCAGCCAACAATGATAAGGGACAAGGATGGGTGATCTTTGTGACTCTGGGGTCAGACCACAGGGCAGTAGCTTCACTTCAGGATAACGGCTGACTGAGTGCTACACGTGCTTATTTTTACATTTGCTTTTCATTAAGTTCGTTACCTTGGTTCAAGTTGAAATCAGCACATTGCATTATTAAACAATCTACAAAAGCAACAATTTTGAACATGGTGCTCCACTGGCAATGTTTTGTTCTGTGGGTCACGAGGTCGTTTGGAGTCGGAACCAACGTTACCGAACCTAAGTACAAATCTCTACCAGAGCAGTGACTGGGTCTTTCAGCCCCTGGACCAGCTGGGGGTGCACACCAGGAGCGCCTAGCCGCTGTGCCATCATGTGTCCTAACGGGGGTATATCCCAACTTTAGACACCAGGTGACAGGGGAGACCTGCCCCCCACGATTTTCTAGGCTGGAATCTTTACAGCAGCAGACCACCAGGTCTTTCTCGCGTGGACCTTCCAGGGTGCAGCAGAGCGCTGACCCGCTGCGCCACCGGGGCTCCTTGACCTCGGTTGACCTGGTTTCGGGCCCTCCTGACCCACAAGAAGGCCAGGATGTCTGCACTCCCGGCCCAGCACCTGTCTTCGCAGACAAGGTTCCGAACCCTGGACCTGGGGCTCCGAGACCAGCCCGCTTACTCCCAGGGGGCCCGGGGAGTAAGCGGGCTGGTCTCGGAGAGGCGGACGGCGGCGGCCAGTGTCCGGGGAGCGGACTCGGGGGCACACCGAGCGGAGGCGGCAGCCCCACGAGGCCCCGGGCCCCGAGTCGCCTGCCCCAAGCTTCGTGGGGCCCAGTCTTCCGGGTCCAGAGCCCCTGGGGGGTCGGCAGCGGCAGGTCAGACCCCCAACAGGACTCGGGTCGAGTCCCACGACGGCTCCATTAGATTTGTCCCCGGGGAGGGGAGGGGACTTCCGGCTGGGACCCTAGGCAGAGCTCGGAACCCGAATACGCTCCCGGCCGGGGACGCCCGCGGAGATGCAGTGAACCCCGACCACCCAGCGCCTGCTGATATGGACGTGCGCGCCAACTAGCTAAGAGCACGTGACACGAGGCGGCCAATGGGGAGCCGCCGGAAGACCCGCCTCCCGACCGCTCAGTGCCTGCTCTGCGGCCGGGCTCGGGACAAGAGCGCCAATTCGCTAAGAACACGTGACACGAAGCGGCCAATGGGGAGCCGCAGGAAGGCCCGCCCCTGGCAGAGCCCCGCACCGGCGCGTTGCTGGGGACGCAGAATGTGGCCCCTCCGTGCCGCCTTCCGCGCGGGGCTTCGGCTCTCTCGCGTGAGCCGCGGCCTCCCGGCTGCGAGGGCCGCACCGCCGCCGCCCAACCCGGTGCGCGCGCTCGCCGCCTTGGGTCCAGAGGTGCCGGGGTCGGACGTGCGCAGGGGCGGAGGATGGGGCGGGCGGGCGGACGGGCAGAGAGCCGGAGCCCGGGATGAGGTCCTGGAAGATGCGGACGCCGAAGAGGAGGAAGAGGAGGAAGCGCTGCTGAGCAGAGAGTCTCTGCTGCCGGCGGGCATCCAGCGCGTGTGCCTGGTCCACCCGGAGGTCAAGTGCGGCCCGCGAAAACCACAGCTGACCCGAGGTGACGGGGGCGGGACATCCGAGGGCAGGGACTGTCACTGGTGAGGGGGGTTTGGGGGCGGGGACTGTTACTGATGAGCTGGACTTTGGGGGCGGGGCCTGACCGTGGTGGGCGGGGACTGTCGGGAGGGAGGGGTTTGGGTGGGGACTGTCTGTAGTGGGCGGGGTTTGGGGCGGGGCCGAGCTGGGCAGCGATGGGAAGGGCGCGGTAGGTGGCTGACCCTGTTTCCTTGTTTCCCGTTCCCGCAGCGGAGTGGCAGGTTGCTGAGGCCAAGGCTCTGGTGCACACGCTAGATGGCTGGTCCGTGGTGCAGACCATGGTGGTGCCCACCAAGACGCCAGACAGCAAGCTGGTTTTCGGCAGAGGAAACTCCGAGCACCTGACAGGTGAGCTTAGGTGAGCTTTCGTGGCCTCTCCTCCCTCCCCCGCCTTCCCCACTATGGAGAACGTTCAAGCCGGGGGGCGGATTGTGGCAACAGTGGGGCCTGCCTCGGGGTCCGCCTTCCAGCAAGTACAGCGTTTCAGGTGTGGGAAGAACTGGTGTGAGGGAGGGGCCTCTGGCCTCCCCACTGAAGTGACCCCCAGCCAGGGGTGCTATTTACCTGAGAGTCCACAGTGTAACTGAGCTCTCCAGATACTTGCCGTAAAGGGCCTGCCACCTCCGGTCACGTTCCCCCCTCAAGCATTGATGCCCTGCTCTGGGTCACTTGGGTTATGGGTCCTTGTGTGACCCTCCCCGCCCTCAGACATCTGTCCCCATCCCAGATGCTCCCCGATCATTCACGGGCTGGTGAGCCCTCCCCAGGTGTCTGGAGAGGGTGTGGTTCTTATCACGCCTGTCTGTGCCTGAACTCACGTGCTTCAGCCCTGCGTGGTTGTGCCACCTTGATGTGTGTGTCAGACATGCACCTGTGGGCAGAGCCACGCGTACATTGGGCATGCACCTGTGGGGAGACTCGTGTACATTACACGTGTAGCTGCAGAGAGACCCGTGTGGGCTTCAGGCGCCTGTGGGAGACTCCAGCCCTGCAGCCCCACTTGCTGTAAACAGCACTCAGATAGTCACAGGTGCCGTGTGCAGACCCACAGAGGGCCCTGCACAGGGGTTGTCTGGAGGGTTATTCCCCACACGAATGCCCACGAGAGCGTCAGCCCGTTGTGCTGTTCTCCTTTCCTTAGAGAGAATCCGAGGGTCTCCAGAAATCACGTCCGTCTTCCTGAACGTGGAGAGGATGACCCCCCTCACAAAGGTACTTGAGACGACCTTGCGTCAGTCTTGTTGAGCCACAAGGGATGAGCAGTGCTGCGGGTGGGAGCCCTGTTGTGAAGATGAGCGGGTCAGCGTGTAGAGCAATGGGATGTTGCCCCTAATCTGAGGCCCACTGGGACACCAGGTGTGCCTCTGCCCAGTGTGCCATCATCTGCCCAGGTGTGTCTGTGCTCAGGTGTCCCTGTGCCCAGTGTGCCATCAGAGGTTTTCCTGTCCTCTCAGAAGGAGCTCGAGGCGGCCTGGGGCGTGCCGGTGTTTGACCGCTTCACCATTGTGCTGCAGATCTTCCGCTGCAACGCCCGCTCCAGGGAGGCCCGGCTGCAGGTCGCACTGGCCGAGCTTCCGCTGCTCAGGTAGATGGTGGACCCCTGGTCCTCCCCTGGGTCCCAGCCTAGTGCAGCACCCCCCTTGACTTCCAGTCTTTGACCCTTTCCTGGAGGGTACGAGGCAGTGACGGCTGAGTGGTGGAACCCTCGCCTTCGGAGCGGGATACCTCGCTCCCGTCCCAGCAGCGCACCCTGTGCACACCCAGCACCCATCCGCCTGTGGCGGCTGCGTGTTGCTGGGACGGTGGACGGGTTCCGCCTGTGGCGGCTGCGTGTTGGTGTGACGGTGGACGGGTTCCG